TCAAATTAGTACAATCTCGGTCAATTATAGTGTAATCAAACTGGAATTAGTTCAATTGAAGTCAAATTAGTACAATCTCGGTCAATTATAGTGTACTCGAACTGGAATTAGTCCAATTAAAGTCAAATTAGTACAATCTCGGTCAATTATAGTGTAATCGAACTCGAATTAGTTTAATTGAAGTCAAATTAGTACAATCTCGGTCAATTATAGTGTAATCGAACTCGAATTAGTCCAATTGAAGTCAAATTAGTACAATCTCGGTCAATTATAGTGTAATCGAACTCGAATTAGTCCAATTAAAGTCAAATTAGTACAATCTCGGTTAACAATTTTTTTTATAGACACGGATTCTCAGAATCCGTTTTTAATTTTTTCAACAATGAAAACGGATTCTCAGAATCCGTGTTGAATTTTCAACAACTAAAATGGATTCTGAGAATCCGTGTTGACTTTTGAACAACTAAAATGGATTCTGAGAATCCGTTTTATGTTTAATATATAAAAAAAAAAAATCGGCGACCGAATCACCGAAACCCTCCCCTCATTTCTCTTCTTCACCGCCCGATCTGTGCCCTCTTCTCCGCCGACCGCCACCATCTTCACCATATTCTCCGATCACCATCCTTCTCGACCCAGCAGCAAGACGCCGCGAACCAGTCATCTCCGCCGCCGCCTTGCCGTGAACCGCCGCGGATCAACAGGGTTCCCGACGATCCGATGCCCCTTTCCCCGCGATGCTGCTCCCTCACGACCACTTCCGGCGAGTTCAGCGACCCTGACATCGAGCAGCGACCCCCCTCGATCTCTCAACTTCGCCGACGAGTCATCCTCACGCTCAGGCGACTGCCCCTCCGCGTCGCAACCCCTCAGCATCGGACATCGATGCCGGACAGCACCTCTGCTCCGTCGACCTGAGCCGCCGTTCTTCTTCTCGAGCCACCGTGTGCTTCCCATCAACCCTTCGTTCTGTTTTCGATCGATTACCGAGAACGGTACAAGGCTCGACCCGTCTCGTTTAATTTTTTGTATCGTTTATGTTGTGTTCTTGGTTGTTGAATGTGATTATCGAACACATGTGAATATGCCTATGTTAAATTTTGTGTTCATAAGATTATATATGTGAATGTTGTGGACGAACTCTTCGATTCTGCTCGATTGTGAATATTGTGCATAGTCGATTGCCTGGAATTTGTTGAATTTGTTTGGGCTCGATTGTGAATATTGTGTTCAATTGTTTATTGAGGTGATCGAATTTTGTTTTGGTTGACAATAGGGTTACGATAATGAAATCGAAGAATATGTGGAAACGAAAATTTAAGACAATTCTAATTTCAAATCATCTTTAGGAATATTATTTTTTAAAGATATATTATTCGTGAATTAACTATAATTAAATTAAGGATTAATGACTAATTTTATTTATTTATATGATAAAACAGTTGGGCTGTACTCAACAAACCAATATGCAACACAAGCATAATTCAACTGAACATGTGAGAAAATTTCTGAATAATTCCAATCGATTTGCTGGGTCATGTGCGCCAATCAAGTACAAAAGAACAACATATATCTCACAAAATTATAAATTATAAAAATATGTCAAATTAGTTGCAATCTCGGTCATTTTTGCAGAAAATGGCATCGTCATCCTCGAACCCTCAACCTTACACCCCACACCCCGGCCCCAGTGACCCTTCACTTCTATATCTTCAGAACCGCCACCGGTCCAAGGCGGTATATGAGGACGCACCGGGGTTTCGCCACGGCGTGGTTAAGCCACGCCGTGCGAACACCCAGTTCTGGGCTGCCTTGGAGGGCAACAAGCAGAATGCCCGGACCTGGGAGGTGATCGAGAAGGCCGGCTTCGGGCCTTTGTTTCGGATGGGGCGGGTCCCGACAAACAATGCCATCATTACATGCCTGCTGTAGAGGTGGCGTCCGGAGACGCACACCTTCCACTTCGACTTCGGGGAGGCCACGATCACTCTCCAGGACGTTCAGATACTATTTGGCCTCCCCGTCAGCGGGGATGCGTGCTGGGGACAGACCGTACAGCGAACTCCCCAAGAGTGGAGAGCTTATTGCGTGGACGCTCTAGGGTACCTCCCATATGTACATGTATATTTTTACCTAAAACTTTTTTTTGCTTATTTTGTTTTTTTATTTTATTTTTTTTATTATTGTGTTTATGTATACTTAAGTCATGACTCGTTTTTAATATATATATATTAACGTACTTCAAGAATCTCGGGGACCCGGCCTATGACCCTAAGACTTAGGACATTTCAGTCCAGTACCTGTATTTTAGTAGTTTAGAAGACGAGTGCAAGCGACCTCTGGAGGATGGACTCCCTACATCAGAGTACGAGAGGAGGGCGAGAGCCCTGATATTCTGGTGTATTGGGTTCTTCTTCTTCCCCGACCATCGGGCTAACAAAGTCAACCTTTACTGGCTGTCCCTATTGACTAACATCGATGCCATTCCGGGGTACAACTGGGGTGGAGCGCTTCTGGCCGGGGTATATAGAGCGCTCTGCGACGCCTACGAGAGGGAGGAAAAATATATCAAGAGCTGCGTGCAGTTGATTCAGGTAAATTTATTTACTTGTTAATTGCAAATTAATTTTATTTGGGCATGGGAACGCATCCCTCGTATTCGCCCATTCATGAAGAGAACGCATTTCGGCTCTCAGGCTGGTTGTCCCTTGGGTGCAAAGTAATAATAACTTTTATTTATATTCAACACTTAAGTTATTTCAATTATCAAATTTTGTAATTACAAATAGTTTTTTCTGTGATTTTTAAGGTGGGTGGGATCGAGGGACTTGAGGCACGTGGGGACGGGCACAGCTACCATCCGAGATCAGCTGAGTGGCCTGAGAGGGACTGATGTAAGTTTCTTAGGTCATAATAATAAATAATTATTATTTTTTATAATTCTATTTTTTTATTAAATTCATTAATAATTCTATAACTGTTTTTTTTACAGTTCGATGGGGTACCCTATCAGACGTACATAGACGAGGGTCGGCTCCCGGACCAGTGTACACGAGACCGACATCTCTGGATGTACAAGGGGTGGATCTTCTGCTGGAACATCGAAGAACCCCACCAGCCTGATAGGGTGCTCCGCCAGTTTGGGTGCTACCAGCCCATCCCCCAGACGCCGGTCATTGCTAGTCTGGCCGACTGGGACACCCACCACAAAGGCCAGGGCATGACTAGGAGGGCATATACCGATTGGCGGGCCTTCCATTCTGATCTTGGGAGGATCTGGACCGAAGAGAGAGATCAGAATGTCCTTCCAGATGTACCGGTGGATCTCTTCTTGTAGCCGGCAGGTGGGTACATTGATTGGTATCACAGTAAGACTGTGAGACTATTCAATGACCCTAACAACTACGCGGCAATCTCGCAGGACGGCGGGTTTCAGCCATATGCCGACCGGGAGAAGTGTCAGGTAAGTGTCTGCTAATTTGTGATTATTATTATTATTATTATTGAAGTTATTATTATTATTATTCTTATTTCTTTTAGTTTTTCATAATAGTTATTTGAATTTTATTTTCAGAATTCGGGTACGGAGGAGGCGTATAACACGTTATCGAACCTTGAAGACGTGTTTGATACGCTACCTCCCTGAGCTCAGCAAGGTTCCAGTAAGCCCAGGAACTTGTGTACGCTTCTCTGACTGTTGGAGGCCAGTCGGTCACACAAGGGGCGTCGTCGGGGCAAATTCTATCTCAAGAGGAGTACGCCCCACCCCAGCAGACATAGTCCCAGCGGGCGAGGCATAGACCGGCGCCCCACATTGGTGTAGGGAGAAGACGCCGTGACCGCGAACCCGCCGCTGCATTCCCCGGGAATGAAGAAGACGAAGAAGGTGAGATTTTTTATTTAACTGCAAATATGTATTTTATTTTTGTTTGTTTTTATTTATTTGTCCGGTTGAATTACTGATTTTTTACAAAAATTAATTAATTAGGCGAAGAAGAAGAAGGAGAACCAGCCACGCCTGGACCGACCGCAGGATCGTCTTCTTTGGTACTGGGGCCTCGGAGAGGGTCCCGAAAATGCCAGCCTAAGGAAACATTTACTCCTAGTTAGTTTGTTTTGCATTCTGTGATTTTGTGGACATTTTCTTTTTTTCTTTTATTTTTTGTACTGAATTTTCAGATATTTATTCTTGATGGTTTTGAGTACATATTTTGTGGTTCACTTTTTTTTTTGTCGGTAATTGTGGTTGTCTTTTTGTATATAGTGTTTCATGTATGTATGCATGCTAGATTTATAATTTGACGAATTAATTGATATTAAAGTGATATTATTTCGTGTTTAAAATGTTAAATCAAAATTTATAAAAAACCTTCATATTGAAGGATAAGAATAAAAATTCAGCCAAAATAAACGCGATCGCTGGTAAACGAGTTCGTGAGCATCCAAGAGTCGAGCCTAACTTAAAAAAAAAAATACATAAACACGGATTCTAAGAATCCGTATTTTTAACAAAAAAAAAATTAAATAAATAAACACGGATTACGAATTCTCAGAATCCGTGTTCTAGTGTAAAACGGATGTTCACAATCCGTGTAGTTAACACGGATATTCATTTTAGTTGAATTAATTACGGTTAATCACATCAGTAAGGAAAGACGGATTCTGAAAATCCGTCTTTTGCTCGAAAAGAATTCGGTTGTTTTATTTTTTTCCACACAGTTTTTTTTTATTTATTTTTGTCCACTTATTTTTTATTTTTTTTAATTAAATAAATGATTCTAATAGATTGGGTAAAATAAAAATTACCGATCAAATAAAAATATCTTTTAATTTTGAATTAGGGTGAAAAGGGGACATCTCAACTGGTTGATCTGTTTGTACACAGTAACACAGTAGCCGTGATAATAATAATAATAATTGATAATTATTCAGTATTGAAGGTAGTGCCCGCAGTGCCCCCACCTTCACGAGCCTCTGCTCTCTCTCTCNAAAGAGCAATAATGAAAAGGGAACACACGATGAGTCAAGAGAATTTATCGAGCAGCGGCAGCTCAAGCTCGTCGAGCAAGGCTAAGATGTGGCAGTGCGAGGCGGAGGACGCCGGCGTGGACGAGCTCTTCGCCGTCCTTGGGTACAAGGTGAGGCCGTCGGACATGGCCGTGGTGGCCCAGAAGATCGAGCAGCTGGAGGAAGCCATGGGCAGTGCCCCCCGCGACGGCCTCTCTCACCTCGCCTCCGACACCGTTCACTACAACCCCTCGGATCTCTCCTCCTGGCTCGAGTCCATGATCTCCGGCCTTAACCCGCTGCCCGACTTCGATTCCTGCTCAGATCCCTTTCTGGACTCCTCCTCCTCCCTCGACAACTGCTCCGCCAGCGTCACCAGCACCCGATTGATGCCCGACTCTGATTTCGGGTCGGATCTCATTGCCATACCTGGAAAATCCGCCTACCCCAGACCCGCCCACCTCCCTCCGCCGCAGACCAAAAGGCTGAAGACCTCTCCCTACCTGCTAGGAGGCGATTCCGGCGCCAGCACGCTCGGGGACTCAACCTTCGTCCGTCCTGTTGAGTCGACCCGGCCGGTCGTCCTGGTTGACTCGCAGGAGAACGGCGTTCGACTCGTCCACACTATGATGGCCTGCGCGGAGGCCGTCCAGCAGGACAATCTCAAACTCGCCGAGACCCTCGTCAAGAACATAGGCTATCTAGCCGCCTCACAAGCCGGCGCCATGAGAAAGGTGGCCACCTATTTCGCCGAGGCCTTAGCCAGAAGAATCTACCGACTGCACACAAACCCCCAATACGACGACGCAGCCCTCGCCGATTTGCTAGAAACCCACTTTTACGAGACCTGCCCTTATCTCAAATTCGCCCACTTCACCGCGAATCAAGCCATCCTCGAAGCCTTCGCCGGCAAGACCCGTGTCCACGTCATCGACTTCAGCATGAAACAAGGTATGCAGTGGCCGGCCCTCCTTCAGGCCCTTGCCCTGAGGCCCGGCGGGCCGCCCAGCTTCAGGCTGACCGCCGTGGGCCCGCCCTCCGGCGAACTCGGGCTGAGACTCGCCAAGCTGGCCGAGTCGATCCAAGTCGAGTTCGAGTACCGCGAACTCGTCATGAACTCTCTAACCGATCTCGACATAGCCATTTTAGCCCCGAGAAAAGACGAGACAGTGGCCGTGAACTCCATCTTCGAGCTCCACCGCCTGCTAGGCTTTCCCGGCGCTATCGAGAAGGTTCTGGAAACCGTCAAGGAACTGAGGCCCGAGATTTTCGCCGTGGCCGAGCAAGAGGCCAGCCACAATGAAAGCAGGTTCATGGACAGGTTCACGGAGTCCTTGCACTACTACTCGACGCTCTTCGATTCTTTGGAAGAGTGTGGGCCCCACGGGGAGCAGGACAGGTTGATGACGGAGGCCTACTTGGGATGGCAGATTTGCAATGTGGTGGCGTGTGAGGATGTGGACAGGGTCGAGAGGCATGAAGTGCTTGCGAGTTGGAGGGAGAGGTTTGGGTTGGCGGGGTTTGAGTCGGTTCACTTGGGGTCGAACGCGTACAAGCAGGCGAGTATGCTGCTGGCGCTGTTTGCGGGTGGGGATGGGTATAGAGTGGAAGAGGATGATGGGTGTTTGATGTTGGGGTGGCACACGAGGCCGCTTGTTGGGACCTCGGCTTGGAGAGTGAGGTGACTCGTACGAGTTGAGTTGGATGGGTTTTGAGGATGAGACCCACCATTTGTTACTTGTTAGTGTTGTCTCCTTTT